GAAGGCCACTCAGAGGTCTCGTTACAGGTAAACCCAAAGCAACACCATCTGGTGGTGGCGAAAGAGTTTTGCTTTGGCTTCTAAATTTTGGGTATAAAATATTGTTAGTTGAAAATTTGTGGCTGGGAGATTACTCATGAATCTTGATAAGAGCCTAGAATACAGCTATGTGAAACAGTAAAGAACAGAGTCATATGATTTAGCTCTTATGAAACTGGAATTGTGTTGACAGTTTATGAAAATAAGAAGCCAAACAATGGTAATGGCTTGAATGAAATGTCACCCATTCCAATCAGAGTCAGGCAGAGGCCCCAAGACTATAAATATTCTCCTCAAGACATGATGGGGTCAGCTCTAAAGCACACAAATGAGCAACTCACTCCCTACCATCACAGGCAATAAATCAATGGTCAAATGCCAGTCCACACCAGTTGAATCAGAATCCCTGAGTTTCACCCTAGACAAACCAAAATGATGTATGGATGGTGTCAGGGACCTGCATTTCTAACAAGAATCTCAGGGGATTCTCAAGCAGATGGTTGGGTAGTCCCAGATGAAAGCTGGGACACAATTATTTCAGCTTGGCAACAAGATATAATCAAGCACCACAACCATTTAAAAATGCCCAGTAAATCACTCACAGAATGCCCAACTTGAAGCATCACTTTCTTGCTACACCCTTCAAGATCTCCTGGTTGAAAAATAAACACAAACATAACTGAATGATAAGTCCTGCTGAGTAGATGGTCGTGACTTAAACTAGCTAAAATCTTAGGTCAGTAGCATCAAATTGTACAACTTTTGGTTGGTGGCTCTTCTGGGACATAGCTATACAAAATAATGATGTTTACTTAAAATATTTTATTTAAACTCTTTGATGGTAGTAGTTAGAAAGCTATTTCAGTGGCCTACTTTGGATTCTCCCAGTAGCAATTGATTTTGTTAAATGCATGTAAAATGCTGTCATTTTGTTCACTGCAATAGGGAAAAGTGATCCTAATATTTATTAGATTTAAACACTGTATTAAATCGAATTTTCCAAATACTTAAAGGAGGGAGTAAAATTCTTTAATGTGTCATCCCATTGGAAAATCTTGTTAGGGTAGCATTTTGACAGGTCCTGACAGTTGAGAAAATATTGAGCTTTAGAACCAGTATAAGCATCAATAGCAGGGCTTACCTGCACTCGTTGCAAATGAGATAGGGAGGTGGTTTCGGTTCTCTGAACAAGTTGCACTCAAGGCTGAATTTAATCTGCATGTAAGTTGTTGATGTGTGATGAGCATGTTAGTCTCCTAGAGGAGCACGGAGAATACTGTTAACTTTCGCTCCACAGATGTCTGCTAATGGAATGACAGAAATTTTTTGCTTTTCTTAGTCCTAAGAACTCCATGATCTCATTCCATTCCAGTTATGTGCAAAGTCAGTCATTCTAAGAGCACAATTTAGGGTCAAGAAGGTAAGGAGATGATGGCCCCTTTGAACAACTGTAGTAAAACAACCAGGGAATAACTTTTGAAGCTAAATATTCTGAGTCTGTTGGTAAAACAAAACAATACAAACAGAAACATGGTTTATAGATGTTTCCTTATAATAATACATTCTAAGCCTAGATTAGGTTTTCACATGAGGAAAGTGGGCTTTTAGAATTGGTAGAATATAGATTCCAGGCAGGACACATGCCTTGTAAAGAGAAAGGTACAATTTTCTAATAAAACATTGTAATTGATTAAATCATTTCTTCAATGCCAAAAAGTTTGACAATCCACCTGGAGAGTCTCCTCTTAGAGTAAGGAAAGTGCAATATTCGTTTTGTAGTCAAATGGAGGGCGCTCTCTGGGCTTTTCAGAGGCTGGAGTGTGGCAAAGTAAGTTCTACTATTAAAACAGCTCTCAGCAGAAGGAACACAGCCACAGATGTATAAAGTAAAAGAGGCCCAGCCGTAGATGCATTTCAAATGGAACATTTACAAAAAAATTAATAAATTAGGAAATTATTAATAGCTAGCCAAGAAAAAAATGAAATGACCTTCTCTTGTCCCCAAACACCCAGGTTAAAAGTGAAGATTGACCACAAGAAGAGTTGTAGAGGATTTGCAAGATCGAATTAAGTGAATTTATATGGTCTTAAAGAGAATTCATAAATAATGAGATTATTTTCAGAGCAGCTTCTGACGCAGAAGGAAAAATAATGAGGGCTCATGATAGCAGAGATAGGGTGAAGGAAGTGACGCAGTTCATGCCATGGCCGAGCTGGAGAAATGGGTCTCCGGAGTGCAGTCCCGGTTAGAGAAGGGCGGCTGCCTCTGCTGGCCTGGCTACCTAACTCAATAAGGCTTCATGACGTGCTCAAGTCATTTATTTTCGATGCTATAGGAGGGCAGGCTGTCCGTTGCATGAGAAATGTCATGACTTCATCAGGGCAAAGTGTAAGAATTTGGTGAACTACATCATGTCCAGGAATGAGTGCCATGCCACCTGGTGGTCTTGTTTCTCCTTGGGTGGGGAAGAAGGTCAGGCCAGGATGGGACTGATAAAGTGGGATAAAATAAAAGGCTAAATAATCCAGTAGTCTCTTTGGGGTTGAGGGAAATTGTAGTGGGAACACAACTGTGAGATGAAAGGATGGGTAAGTGAATGCTGGCTCTGAATAGACTATTAATGTCTTATATTTCAGAGGAGGATCTGTTCTCATGGGAGATAATAAGGTACAAGGTACACAGCATATAAACTGTGCTATGCAAAACTAGGGGTGAGTTTGATGAACAGGGGGACTCAGTCTCTCATGTTAAGGAGACCAAGGAAGTGGAAAGCTGAATTCTGGGCACATCACCCACAGGGACTCAGGCTTTTGAGTTGTGACTACAGGGCAGATGCTGAGGTATGTGAGTGAGGGGCAGAGAAATTAGGAGCAGCAGAGAGAGCTCAGTGATGGAGAAGGCCCTAAAAGGGGCCAGCTCTTACTTAGGGATGGAAGAGTGGTGGTCTGAACCTAGGATTGGTGAGCATACTGGTGCAAGAGATCAGAAAATCTTGGCATCTCCGCCTCCGCACTGGGTCTCCTTTGCTGCTTTAACCTTTAGACCAAAAGGGGAAAAAAAGGGGGGAGGGGGTGGGGAAGTGTTTTTTGCTCAGCCCTGTAGCCCTGCACAGAGGCTTGTTAATCATCAACAGGAATTTTGCTGACAGCTTGAGATTTCTGCAAATAGCTGCTTGCCCAAGGCTTGTCTCCCCCAGGGAGATAAGAATGTCAGGACCAGACCTGTGCCGTGGGAGTCAGCTGACCAAGGACGGGGGGGTTTACAACTCTCCTCGGGCCCTCGCTGGTGCTCGGATGTCTGCAGTTATGTCACCTCCTAACCTCAGTCTCCTTCTGCTCCCCCTTTACCTGGCATTAAAGGAGCTTGAAATCAACTCTGCATTTAGATGGATCTTTAGGACATCCTCCCACGTCCAACCTGCCGCTTGTTGAATAAAGCTCTTTACTCCACGGTCTGTCTCTGGGTGTGCTGGCTGGTCAGCTGGCTGTGGAACAGAATGTCTGCGTTACACCAGTGCTACCTCCCAATGTGATGGTGGCCCGAGAATGGGAATCGGTGTTCTCAACGTACGGTTTCATCTCGGTAAGGAAAGAAAAAGGTCTGAGCTGTGTAGACTCTGAGAATACAGGGCATTTTTGTTCTCAGTGGAAAGGGAGTTTTAGAGGCCACATGCAAAGAATTGGGAGAAAATGGAAGAAAAGGATGAGTTGGGGAAAAATCTGCCATGCAACTATTGTTGATTCATTAATTTGAGAGGTATTTAGCTAGTAACTTTGTAGATGTGGAGTTAATATTGATACTGAGAATAAAGTAAAGTAAGTCAGGGGCCTATTAAGGATATAGGGTCTACGCAAGTCCTCTTCTTTGAAACTGCTGATCTCAAAAGAATGTTAAACTTTGCCTTCTGCCAAAATGTAAACATCCTGGACAAACATTTGCCGCCTGCACAAAAGTGGACATTTTTTTGCCTAGTGATCACGTTAGCAAGCGATTATGCATAGCTAAATGTAGGTTACAGTAGTTTAGCCAATCAAGACCATTTACATAAGCCCTCTTAGAGTTACCCTTTTTGTCTTTAAAAACCCTAAATCTTTTCTCCTCCTTGGAGCATAACTTGTGGGTTTTCTCCTGAATCTGTGTTCCTGAGCTGCAATTTCTAAGACCCCAAGTAAAGGCAATTAATCGTTCTACAGCTTTCCCTTTTCCTGGTCGACAACTTCTATATGCCAGGCAAGGTTCTAGGAACCAAGACACAGCAGTAAACACCACAGAGAAGGTCTGGGGCATCAAGAACCTTCGTGACTACTTACATGGAATTTTAGAGGAGATAGGAGTCTACAGATCTCTTTTCACTTGCCTCACATTGCTATAACCATAGTTAAATAAATAAAAAGAGAGGAGAGAGGGAGTGTGGGAGGGAGGAAGGAAGGGAGGGAGCAAAGGGGGAAGGAAGGGACTGGGGCAAGGATACATCTGGAGAGTGAGAAGACACTGGAAGCGGGCAGGGGCAGAGAGGGGCTGCAAGCAACGTCCCCCCTGGCCTAGATGGGAGTAGAGGTGGGTGTCTTCTCTTCAAGGCTCACTCTAGGAGCAGGGGTATCTGCCAAGTACCTGCTCCATGACGATGGATCACTCAAAACATCCTCACCCCTGAAATCGCTATTCCTGGGATTTCATTCCGAAAGTTTCACTCTGTCTTTAAAAACCACTGCACACTCCAATCACATTTCCCTAGAAGGAGACAAGTATTTACTTTGCCCAGTTACTTTGGCTCCATTTTTGATACAAGTTAGAATAAACAGTGCTGAATAAAAATGGATTCTTAAATGAAAATTGTTGGCATTTTATTCTGCCATTTTCAGAATCATTTTGGTAAACAAAAAGCAGGAAATACACATTCTAAAATGTATCACTGAGATTAAAAGAATTCTAAAAGTTTTATATATAATGACCAGGAAAAAATTACTTAATTACATAAATGCAGTGCTTACTAGTCTAATAATAAATTAAAAATCACAAGGTCATCATTTCCTCTAAGTCAAAACAAGATTAAATCTCTTGGCTCAAATAAATGCTCTAAAATGTAATGCTATATATATATGTGGTATTACATAATTTTTATGAAATATTTCTGTATTAATCTTAGCCATCTTTTTCGTAGTACCTGCTCTAAAAAGCATTAAAAACCCTTTATATCATGATTATCCCTGGTTATATAACTTAATGGGAAAAATATTTTGGTCATTAAATACTGTACCCGAGGGCTTAATTCAATCCTGAAATGCGACGCTTCGACATTAGCTGTGAGTGAACATCCAACTTATCTAATCAACAAGATTTTTCATAAAATAGAGCAATGTGAATGTGATTATAGAATTGTCAATGTGGTTTTTACTTAAAAACTATGTAACAAGCATCCTTTACTATAGTTCATGTATAATCACATTGGATTTGATAAGAAGTTTCTTCATGAAGACACAGTAAATCAGGCATAAAGAGGTTTAAGTGTGTAAGATAATTGTTAAACAAGTGACATGATGTTACACAGATGAGATTACAACACTTATACAAATACATTTCATGAAAACCTTAAAGACATTGTAACTCCAGCGCTTATAAAGAAATGTAAGATCATAGAAATACGTGGCAAGTGGAAGGGAGTTCTTGTCCCCTTTCTGACTGTACTTATGGTCTAGAAAACAATCCCCTTTGAATTTGGGATAACAGTGAGCTTCACGCCTTTGCACTCCATTTTCTGAGGTACATAAGGTAATAGACCTAAATTAACAGTATTTTCTCTGTTTACATATTGTCTCTAAAAAATTTATTTCTTTGCTTCATGCCATTTGAAAACTAATTGCACATAACCTTTTTTTTTGACTTACAACTTGTAAGAAGTAGAAAAGAAGTTATCCATTGTAAAATTAACTGGAATTGAAAAGCTTTCTAATTGTAATGACCGACTACACATATATTTTTTGAAGTGCAGTTGATTAGTATGATGACTTATATCAAGTGCAAAACACTATGATTATGCCAGTTATTAAAATAATAATAGCCCTCTTCACAGTTTGTATCCATAAGCATCTTTGGGATTGGTCGTTCTGAAAATTAGGGTTATGTATATTCAGACTACATTCTTCAGATTAGATATTTACCTGTGTCTTCAATAAAACAATGTACACTGGGAGTGAAACTTAATATTACTGTGCCCAACACTTTGGCAATTAACTCATCAAGGATTTGTAACAGTTATTTAATATTCAAGAAATGCTCCAAGCCTTGGATAATTTAGAAGTCACTGTCTTAGAAACTGGCAGTCATCTTTTGCCAAGAATGAAGTAAAATATAAAAGTTTTCATGAGTTTGTAGAAATTCAGAAATAATGAAGTTCAAAAGGATTCTATGTCAGATAAAATTATTCTCATCCTAACTGATAACAAAATTTCAGTAACATTAATGACATTGTACATTAAATATTTGAAATATAGCAAAAAAAGATACATATTCTATGTAGAGCACAAAATAATCGCAACACATTCCTTTCATAAGAAGTGTTCTCATTTGTGTTATTAGCACATAATGAGGTAAGTTGTTGACTCTTTGTTCCACCAGATGGGCAAGTTTTGGGAACACCAGTTTCTTTACCACGTGTCCTAGTAAGGTAGCCATACTAAATCCAGACTTCTGAGAATTCCTGTGCCAACGTGTTGAGAGCAATGTGCATGGTCTATTACTCCATTCCCACAGTTTCTCGTAAGTATTGGTGTTTGTTTTCCTTTCAGACAATGATCATTCTTAGAAACGGTCTGCTTCCGCCAAACTTAGCCTTAGTAAGTACCAATAGAATTGGAAATTTGAAAGATTTAGTTAGAAACTGAAGTCATCAAGGCAGCCATAAAGCACACAAGTGCTTTCAGACAAGTCTCCTTCACACGGCACTTGTAACACAGGAGCGGTTGTTTCACAAACCATTATCTCTTTGAGTGAGATGGCACTGAGTGACATTCAATGCTGATGCTCAGCCTCTTCGCCTAGACCTCCAACCAGGCTGACGGTAGTGGTGGTCCCTGTTGTAGATACCTGTGCAGTAAAATACTTTATTTCACATGAGCTAATTAGCAGGTGCCAGGTATTATTTGGAGGTATTATTTGATGCAGTGGTTCTCAAATTTTAAGGTACCTCAGAATCACCTGTAGGACTTGTTAACATACAGATTCCTGGGTACCACACCCAAAGTTTCAGATTCAGCAGATTTGGGATAGAGGGTGGAAATCTGATGTCCAATAAGTTCTCAGATGATCCTGATGTTTCAGGAACTATTCTTCGAGAATCACTGATTTAGAGCAAAGGAACTCTGTCTTATGAGTCTGTCTTCAATGTACAACCACACAAGAGCCACCTCTCTGAGCCACTCACTGGCTCTCTTTTTCCTTCTTACATGATAAAGAACTAGATACATTAGGGTCTAAGGAATTTAGCTCTTATTATGCTTAGCTATTAAGGCATATTATCAACAATTTTTGAAGTTATCCTCAAACTATTTAAAGTGCTAGCTTCCATCACAACCTGAAAACCGACTCTCAATTCGTGCAGCATAAATTTAAAAAATTCTCAAATGTATAAAGGGTAGAAAGGAGAGACAATATTTTGCTTTCATTATTATTCTTGTAATTAGTGATATAATTTTGATAAACCTCTTATGCAAGGGTACTTTTTGCTTTGAGTAGTGAAAAGCACAAGGCAATCCCAAATGCTAAAGTAGGAAAACAATTTGTGGATAATTTTACTGAATTACTTCTTTCTGAAAGCGATGGGTTGGGAAAAAAGAAAAGAACAAGATGATTTTTATCTTCTATGAAAATTTTTCACAAGTAGTATTCTCCATCTGTTTTGTTTCAATAAAATAAGAACACCTGCTGCTGTAGTCTAATAAGAGCAACCTCTCATGAATATTTCTTGAACTTCAATATTAAAGTGACTCACTGAATCAGAAGAATTTTGCAGAGGAACAAACGTGAAATATTCAATGCTTTGAATCCCAGCTCTCACATTTGTACAAAATATACAATATTCCTACTCATTTGTGTGTGAGTGAAGAACAGTCACCTCCATTCTAACCACCTGGCTCTTAGCTGCAGGCTCGGGTGGAATCTGCTGATATTGACAGTGTCACTGTAATTAACTAGAAACCCCAAGTGACAGCTTTACTGCAATGTCCTGGTGAGGAACTTTGCTCATGCTTCACTGCTTTGCCCATGGTGTCCTAATCTGTTCCCCAGAGAGGACTGCTGCCCTTGCAGACTCCGTGAACACATGTCTCCCTCAGTAGCCTCGAGCTCTTCTGAAGGCACATTTGTATAGATCCCTACCTCACTCCCTAGCACCTAGTACAATGGGTGCTTTCTAGCAAGTATTTGAAGAATGTTTATAAAAACTAAATAAGTACCAATATTTGCCATCAAACCTCCATGAAATTAACCTGTCCAATATGGGGTCCCACTGTGATTCAGTTGTCCATTTTTCTTTGTAAAGTGCCTTCTTCATTTGTTCCAGCATGGCCCACTATGTCATTTTTATCAGTTAGAAGAATATAATACTGTGATTTTATCTATTCTTAAATGCTGAAGTCTTTTCATAGAGATGAAATGATTATGTATTTGTAGTTCCTCCAAAGTTTTTGTTTTAATACAGTCTTACTGGCCATATGTTGAGATGAGAAATGTTAGCAATGATAAGGTTACAAACCTGAGAAAATTGTGTAAATGAGTGACAAAATTAATGGAAAATAAAGGTTAAGAGTGTATATTTTTAAGTAGTTTTTAAAAGGTAGCTTTTTGTTATCTAATATGCTGTAGTGTACATAAATATTCTCTCAGATGTTACATCATGATAGTCTTTGTGGGTTTTTTTTAAACTATAAAGTCAACTAAGAAGTTTGTTGTTAATTCAGAGTTAGTGATTGCTACTTCTTTTAGTAGCCAAAAAGAAAAAAAGAAAAAAAATTAGTGGATAATTTTTAGTAATTCTTTGCAACCAATTTGAAGGTGAAAGATTGAAATAACAATTCAAATTAGAAATGTTCTGACATTTCATTGACACAAATCCTAATGCCTGAAACAAAAAGTGAAATAGCCTGATGTAAGTTCAGTGAAGGTTAGCTTTCTAACAAGTTTAAATCAAAAATTGAGAAATTATTTTAAACTAACTTTTTTTATTTCCAAAGAGCCATAGTTAAAAAAAAAATGGGTCCACAAAGTCATTTTACCTTCATATCTTTAAGATCATAAAATTTCTGTGTACAGATATTTAAAAAAAGGATAGTTTTCCTCAGATATCCCTGTCATATGAATAAACATTCTACCAGTTTTGAAGCGGTCCTGCCCCATTGGCTGCTGGGAGTGTGCTTATGCTGGTGAGCACAACTTGCTCGGAGAGTTTTGATATGTTATCAAAGTTGCTGATCTGTGTGGTCAGAGATTTCCGGCTCTCTGTGCTCGTTCGTCCCCTGGCAAGCCGATCCTCCTGGCGATGGTGAATTCCAAGGCAACAGCAAGAAAATGCAGCTTTAAATTCCTCTCGAAATTTTCCTGGCAAACCAAGGAGCATGGAAGGAAAAAGAATTCCGTGTAAATATGTTCCAACAAATCATGATGAGGGTACAACTGAGTTGCTCCCTTGAGCCAAACTAACAATGAGGTGCAACATTTTGCAAAGAAGGGGGAACCAGGAAAAGGAAAGCGTGGTATGGGGAGCTTGGGAGACTCTTGAAACAATAAGGTATTTCCATAAAATAATACGACTGCTTTTCATGTATGATATTTGCACTCTGTTTCATTCTTTCAGAGGCAAACTTTATACATTTGCCAGTGGGGGTTATTTTTAGTTAGATGATGATAAGAAAAGTGATCAACAGTAGGATGCCCAGAGATATTTAATAATTTCAAAATTGATGAAACCTATGTTATATGTAGGTAGCCAAAGCTATACAGAAATTGCCTCTGTGTTGTATTTTGAAGAAACTATTCTACTGACACAATTAGTTCAACAAAATATCTGGAACAGTATCTTTAATATCTAGCAGGTTACTAAAGCTTCGTGATCTGCATAAGGTACAACAAAAAAATGGAAGGAAAACTAAACAACTTGAGAAGTTAGTCCTTGTCTTTAAATTACTGATATGAAATTGGAGACATAGGAAAATAAGCCATCACCTTTTGAAGGGTAAATGACAAGATTGGAAATCATCATTTCTTCTCTCTGAATTTCATTTATCAAACTGGGTTATTGAGTGATTAAACGAGAAGATGAATATTCATGGACCTGGGACAATAGCAGGCACATAAAAAGTCCCCAGTGATTATCAACCACATTCCTTCCCTCACTCTTAGCCTCCATGATAGCACTTTCGTTCTGCGGCTTCAGCTTCAAACACC